GAGGGGCCGAGGCAGCCGCCTTTCAGCAAGAGGACGCGCGTCCCGCTGCGGGAGGCCAGGCGCCCGGGCGGCACCTCGAGCCCACCTGCGCTAACTGACACCTCGCCACAAGAAAGGACACGGCGGTGGGGATGCCCCACGCTGCGGGGAGCTCGCCTCCCGAGGCCGGCCAGGGCCCAGCTCACCGGCTTCCTCACGTCACCGCGGGGCTTGAACGCGCCCCAGGAAGGGAGCGGGGCCTCGGGAATCTCTGCCCCGACCCTTGCCAGCCCTCCCTCCTCCTCTGCACGCCTTCAGGAGTACCACGGTCACGGTCACGGCGGCTCTCGAGCGAATCCCTGCTGAACAGAGGTGAACAGCCACACTCGGATAAATTACTCAGCAGGCTGGAGCGGGCACGGAGCCCCCGGCACCAGACTGCGCAACCCAGTTGTCCCGTAGCCTCTGCAGGGCTGTAGGAATTCGGACCCAGGTAGGACCAAGCTACCGTTTAGACTCCCAAGTAAAACTGAAGGTAAAGGACACCAGGATGAAAAATCAGCCTGCAGACACTTTGATACCAAGTGGCTGTTTAGCCACATCATGACGTATGTGAAGTTGCTGAATAACTAGGAATTTGGTCCTGGTTTTGTTTCTGCGTTTCGTGTTGCATCGCTAATGGAGAGAGTCCACCTTTAAAAGAAAGTTTATGCTTTTACAAAGAACGTCAGTTCTTAAAACAATACCAAGATAAAGCAAAGATCACTTCTAATTCTTGCCAAGATGCAGAGGGAAAAAAAATTACTTTAAAGGAGGTGAGAAACTTTACTAGTAATGTATGTAGTCAAGTTTCATGATCTGAGCAAGACTTGAAAATGTTTGTGATATTTTTGATAAAGCAAAAAGTAATGTTCTAAGCACACACCACTGCAGAAACTCCAACATGAGTTGTGTAAAAATAGTAACTGAACAGTTAAAGAGATGGGGTTTACATTTCATTTGCATTGGCTCTGCACTTAAATATTTTCCCATAATGATAATGGGTCATATACATAGCTATCTATTCGGCAAACTTAAATGAGGAATTGATCTGGTTCCTTATTCTTTCAGCTAAGACTGTAAATACCAGGGTCCTGTCTGCTCTGTATGAATACACATGGCCTCAGTGGAGTTCTGCCAGTTTACAGCAGCAGAAAATCAAGGCCAGAGGATCAAAAGGTCTCTTCCATAAGAGCAGGGATTTGTTTCCACACCATCTTCTTCAAAAGGTTCTGAATTATCTGGTGAGTGCTCTCTATACTAAAATTATTTTCTTTCAGTGGCACTATGTATATACAAGTGTATATAATGACACCTTTGGGCATTAATAGAAATATATTTAGAACCATAACAATGTCTGAGTCAGACGGATTTGTCTGCATCTCTTTTCATTTCTTCAATTTTTATCTTATTCTTTCACAGCCATTATCTCAGCAAACAATTACTTTTCCTTTTACACCCACTAGGAGTAACAACATTAATAATATCCAAGCCTGCCAGCCAAGGAAACAATCCTTCAGATTCCTGCCCCAGTGGAAGGGCTACTACACTTCCCATAAAACTCAGAGTTCCTCCCCATAACTCAGGATCCATTAAGACTGTGGAAAGAGTCAGTATCCTTCTGGTAACACCCAAGTAAGCAACAAGTTTCATATAGATAAGCTCACTGATATGGATGCATATCTCTATCGCACTTTAGACATCAATGAAGTCATGAATACAGAGGGAATAGAGAGATGCATCGCACAGCCTTCCCCTCCAATGGGTTCCCCCAACATCACAGATTTTGCAGTTCAAAATCCTTGTCAGTGTGGTAGGGAGAAAATCATACTCCCTACTGCAGCAGCCCCAAAGTCGACTCCAAGTAGCACTTGAAGTTCCCTGTACCATGCCTGAGTTTTGCCTTTAATTCTTTTGGAAAACAGGAAACATGTTTAGAAAAGACCATAAACACAAAAAGGACAATGTCCCTCACCAGCCCTCGCTGAAAATATTAAATATTAAATAATAAAGAGAATACAAGCTACAAGAGGAAAAGGTATATACTATTCAGACTCCAAACCACCTCACAAACACTGAAACAATTCCAGGTAACTAACTCCATGTACATGTATAAAATTTAACATGCACATAAAGTATGTTCTTAAAAATGACAACCTGGTAATGGAGAAGAGGAAAATATGCCTCCTCTGTGAAGGATAATCAAATGAAAGGTACAAGCCAAAAACAAGCACAGGGGCAGGCCAATAAAATGTCATGTTCAGAAAATGTAGCCTACGTTGCCTAATCTCCACTGTGATATTCATCTCTGTTAACAAAGAGCAGAAATCTAACCCATGAGTGGTGTAAATGTAAGTGAATTATCCCCATTTCTCTGCATAAGATGGATGTCACTAAAGAGTTCCAATTTTGTTGGATATTCTGCAGCAAAGCGTTTCTTTATATCAAACAGAACCATATAATGACTATACTGAAGGACACTTATGGAGCATAATAGGTACTCTGAACATTTGGTAAGAGAATCATCTGCCTAGGAGAGAAGGAACTGAATGGCTGGATGTATCCCGAATGTACAGGGAAAAATTGATAATGAAATTAATAGAAAATGCACTTAGAGATTCCAGAGCTGATTTAGCCTGAAGATCATTATGAACCCCTGGATAAGTTTTCTCATTGACTCTACTGGCAATAGTATTCCAGCAGAACGGATCTATAGTTTATGTCTCGTGCTTTTCTAAAAAAACACACCAAAAAAGTGCCAAAATCATCATTCCACAAACCCACAAAAGTTCACCTTTATTTATGGTTGATTCTCTGTCTGCAGAATAGCAAACTCTGTACAAAGAGGTCTCTTAGACTGAAGGTTCCTTACTTTATCTCTGCTATACATACATATGTTAATAAGGTCGTCTCCCTTATTTTTCTGTTGAAGCTTTTAAAGGCTGACCTTGCTATCTTTGTACAGCAGTTCTCAATTTCTTCCTCCCAGATTTGTTCATTGAGCTCTTCCAGAGCTTACTTCTTATCCCTCCCATTTATATACATTATCTGTGTCTTCCAGAAGAAGACGAATTAATAATTAGATCTGCTCAGGAGTTTTTAGCTGAATGTTTCACTGGAAAATTCCAGTTGGACGTGACACACTTAATTCAAAGTATCTTGTGTTCAACAAAATACTTCATTGAATTCAAATCAATTCACATTTAAAAAAAAAAAAAAAATGTTTCCCAAAAAACAGCAGAATCTGCTGTTCAGCAAACTGCATGAAAACTTGTTTTCACTACAGCACAAGCATCCTTCTGAGTGTAAATTTTAAAAATAAATTTCCCATTACATTCTACCAGCAAGGTCCTATACAGACCAGTTTTTCTATACAACATACTTGTAGTTTTATATCTTTAAACATCTTGTCCAAGACCACTTTCTTTTCTGTTTTTTGTTAATTGCACTCTCAAATTATATCCCCCTAATCAAGGTAAATACCAATCCTCAAAACAAATGCTATTCAGATTTCAGTGGTGTGTGATTATGGTCTACAAAATTACTGATCCAGAAAATTTCTTTTGGAGCATCGAAGCACCTTCCTTTGCCTTTATAAATTGCTGACAATGGATCTGCCAACAAGCCACAGGGATTTCATCCAGAGCCTTTAAACAACTTGCGGTTTGGTCTCTAGTCTGTGTGTTCAGGCACTCTTCCCATATTCATCATGTTAATCACGCACTTCAGAAATAATGGAGATAGGCCAAGGACAAAATGTTGGTCAATAAACTTCAGCTAATGCAGTTATACCAGAAAATGACCAATAATACGATTCAGTGCTGTGATGTTAAACCATGCCTCAAGAGAAAAGCCTCTACAGTGAGCTGAAAAAAAATGAATTCTAAACACCTCATAGCAAGAGTACACACTACCTTGTGTCAAAGATGCACACGCTTCTCTCCTACCCTTGACCTTTACTCAACTCCAGAGTTTGCTGTGTTTCAGTGATGCTGAGCGTAAGCCATAAGCTGGTACTTGGAATCGTCTAGTGTAAAAAAATGTAAAATTTGGCAGCCTTTCAAGCCAACTGGAAGATGAGATCACTATTTTTTCCTCTGTGTGGAAGGCTTTTTGTAGCAGTTCATGTTTTAATTGTTAGAAGTTGCACAACGTCAATTTTGATCGACTCAAAAAGTTTATTGGAAATATTTATTTCTCTGCAGAACTAAAGTAACTCAAAAGACAGAGGAAAAAACCCACAATACTCCCAGATTTATTCACTCATATAACTCTGCATGTTTAAGTCTTATAATGATGGGGGAAGAGTTTATAGACTGATTTGTCAGCTGCAGAAAGCTCTTATCTGCATTACTGAAAGAACCAGGTAAAAGGCAGTTTTAGGACTAGCTTTGCACTAGTCAGGAACTGAGTCAGTACCAAATATAAGCAAGGGCAGCCACAGTGTCATTCTGAATTCCACCACCTTGTTTTGGTCCTATGGAGCAATGACTCCAGCATACCTAGCCTGAGACAACAGAGGGTTCACCCTGCTCAAGGATTATTCTACAACAGGGAATTTATGGCTGTCATTCAAGACATCCTTCCAGCTGCCCTGTACAAGCCGGAAAACAACAAAGTAGCTGAGCACTGGGGCCTAAAAATATTAAAGGTCACTGATGCGTACAAAAATCCTGTTGGGTTTAGGGACAAATACAGATCTCCTTAGCCAACCCGAATGCCTAAGCAAATCAGTGTACAGACATATAAAAAGGATGGAAATACTTGCTCTCTGGCTAAAGGGCTACTATACAAGCAACGCTGGGCAAGCACCATCTTCCTATTCTGTGTTTTCATGCGAACTAAGAGGAGGTACAGAAAAGGCAGCCTCAGGCTCCAAGGCACCTTGGTAGAACAAACAAAAAAATCTTGAGGATGTCATTTACTGGCCACACAGATAAAACCACTAGATAAGGGTACAACAAAGAGCTAGATTTACCCACTAGAAACGTTATTTCAACAGCACTTCACAGTATGCCTTTGACTCAGTCTTCAGCTCGTGCTGATTTGACATCTGTCCCCGTTTTCTTCTCTTCAGTCAATTCTATAATGGCCTTCAGCTCAGCTTCAGAGAACTTAGGGGTCAGTGCCACATTGTCATAATCAAATTCTTCATCAAGTGAGAATAGTTGAACATCATCCCCTAGTAGCTGTAATGGGGAAAAACAGATACATAAATAATATTGTTGCAAGTGATGATAAGGGAGCTCAAAATATAAACATCTGATTAATATTTAATTAAACTATTTTTTATGACTGTAGCACTCTCAGATGATTAAGCTCTTTTTAAGTAAAAGAATAAATTAAAATATTCAATTTGACCCAATTTATGCCATTTAATGTGCCCCATTTGTACTGTACTGTATCTGAATTAATATCATTAGCTAATTTTGCTCAAGGCAAGGAATCTAAAATCCTCCCTTGCACACATCAATTACATTCCTGCCACTTGTAGTGTCAGGGCTGTGGGGATATGGACAAGTTATGTACAGCTATGTTAAATTTCAAAGACAGATTCCATATCCTTAAAATTTGGGCTAGTATCAAATAAAGCTCCAGTGTACATGCATCTGAAGCTAATGTAACGTGCTTCCCAGAACACAGTTTCAGCAAAGGAAATGACTGGAATGAGTAAAATGTCACATAATCAATTTTCAGACTCTAGTAATTTCTTTTCACCATCTCAGAGATATGCAATTGGCTGGTCTGGATTTCTTGCATGATGAACATATAGAGTCTCACTGCATTTGCCAACATTTGCTTTGTTGACATAGCATATAGCATTTCTGTATTGCTTCTCGTTGAAATATCTTAGAACAAATGCTCTGTCTATAAAATAAAATAATGAAAACAAATCACTATGGCAGGCTGCATTCTGATAAGAAACTGCAAGGGGCCCTGACACAAAAGGTTTATGGTAAGCAGTTACATAAAATTAATTCCAGAGCTACACAGGAGACTGCCCAATCTGTACAGGAATGCTCCCTATCCTTTGAGAAGTTAATATAAAATATCTAGAAATTTCAGCCATGACAAGTAGCATATCTCCTCAAGGGCTCTGTGATTCAACAATTTAAGTACTTCAGTTCCAAATCAGCAAAACATTTAAACGCATGCTTATTTTTTCAAACTTCTGCCGAATCTTCAGTGAAGCCAACGACTACTGATGTATTTTAAGTTAAGAATACACTTATTTGTTTTGCTGAAAGGGAGGAAGAACAGTCAGCATCAATGGTCACTGCTCACTTTAGAAGGCACATTATCCCACACGATTTCTGGTAACACTTTGTAAGATGCTGCACTGACACAGATAGTGCCATCTAGCAAGTCAGAGAAGTGGTAGCTGGATTCTTCTCTGGTGGCACCTGACAGACATGGCAGCGAGCATACATCCTTTACTAATGAACTGTAATATTGCCTGATTGATCAGGAAATAATTTTTCTGGGTTTGTATAATTTAATAATCATCCATATTGATTAATGTTCTAAGGACCTGGCTTACATTGGCTTCAGTAGATGCTGAAGCATATAAAACATCCCAGATGCAGACCTGTAGACCATGGGCATTTACAAGTGAGAAAAATAAGCTTTCTAGATATAATTGGTCTAGAAAATGGTATTCATTACACATGCAAAGACTATCTTCCTTATATCCATAGACTATCCCAGCTAAACCAACATTAACTTTTAGAAATAGCACATTCAGTAAATGTTTACATCAGACAAAGCCTGCACACAAGCCCCTTCCCATTAAGGCTAAGGTTATTAAGGTTTTTTCATCTTTTCCACAGACAAAGCCTCCTAAAATTCCATGCCAGTAAGGGTACCAGCAACTGGGTAACAACTGGTACCAGCAACGGGGTTCATTACTACCTGTCTTTTGCAGAAATCCAAAACACTCTTCTGAAATACAATGCAAGGTGCAAATATTTTTCAGTTAGTCTGGTTGTAACAATATTTGTTACCATATCTATAGATAACTAATCTGAGTTTAAGTTACAGTAAGCCTTCATTGGGATTTCACAAAAACAAATCTGTTCTTCTTCTGCCAGCATGGTTATGGAAAGTATACACCCATTCACTATGCCCTTGTGTTGACCTTCACGTCATTTCAGGTACATTTTATGCAGATGCAGAGAAATACTGGAAAAACTTTTATTTAAAAAACTCGTCCCCAAAATGCTAAGTGAAAATAGATGCCAAATTAGAACATATCCAACTTCACTTATAACAATTTTTGTTACCTACTCATTGCAGATTTTAAAAGTTTATTCACGCTGCATATTTATCAGCGTGCTTCATCTCTCAAAGGAGTACTCAAAGCACTAGGGACTCTTTTTTTGCTTCTTTTCCCAAGAAGCCATTCACTTCAACCTTCCACGCAGACAAGCAATCTAAAATTTTTATACTGCAAATTGCAATTTTGATCTATTTCAAAAGGAAGACATTTTGCAATAGAACCCCGAATCCTCTGAGCTGATCAAGTTATTATCTTATTATTTTTGCCTAAGGAGCTGAGAGAAATATGTGAATTTCAGGTGTCTAATTTAACATCTAATTGAAATCTTTTTGAGAGCTCTCTGGGAGTAGAATTTTGCTCTATTAGAAAACTGCCAGTTTGCTTAAGATTGCTCCTGTGGTTTACTCTCTGAAGAAAAAATCATTTTCATTTACAGTTCCTGCATGTCCAAATTAAAGGGGAAAATAATGTAACATATTAATAACTGAAATATTTTGCTAGAGGCTGTTTTACATGGTAATGTTGTAAATAAAATACCTTAATGTCGAGACTTTCAAAAGTCTATTAATAATTGGCAATTCAGTTCTTTTTATTAATCTGTGTGGAGTTACAGTTAACTGAACATCCTGTCTCTGTCCTTCTAAAACCTTTATTTCTGTGTAATTACGGCACTCTATGATTCACTAGTTCAAATTATGTGAAGGATGCACATCTACTCACCAATTATTTCATTGTATACTCAAGGGAAAACTTACTAGTTCAATACCAATAAGTAAAAAAAGGGGGGGAAATGCCTGTATGCTATTATCTCATATAAGCTTAATATGTACTGGGGTACTTGGGAGAAAAAAAGTTTGTCTTGAGCTGGGGGCACTGGATTGGGAGTCAATAAATCTTGACCAATTTTCCACTTCTGCTTCATCATTCTGGACAAGTCACTCAATCTCTGTCTTTACTGGCCTCTGAGAAGATGTAACTCTTCCATCTTCTTTCAGTTAGTCAATCCTGTCTTCAAGTTCTTCCTTGCTCTTGTTGCATTTATGCATAGCACTTAGCAGAAACAAACCTCAGTTAAGGCCTGTCAGTAAAACCTTAAACCAGAGGAACTCAATGGAAGCTGTATTTTAGGTGATAGATGCTGCCATTCCACAGATAAAGATAAAATGATAGGCATGGTAAACACTTTTTTGAATGCTCAAACTAAAGATAAATGAAGTAGAAGGGTAGAATTCATCTTTCCTAATCCCAACCATATAAAAATTAGGCTTCTACATTAAGGTAGTCAATTAGCCAAAAAAGAACCATCCTGAGAGTTAGTCTGTGCACGGAGATATATTACATTTTTTAGGACAAATGCCTACAGCAAGTGGGATGAATGAATCACTTTCTGGAGGTGCTTGTCTCCCCCTCTTGATGACAGAAGGACTACATTAGACTAAATTTAAAGCTGAAGTTAGGTGAGGTGAACCCCACTTTGAATGCATGCTTATAGTGAGTGGATGGAAAATATGCCTTCAACTGCGCTCAGATGTATGCAGGGAGGGGTGGGGGAAGTAACAAATAAAGACCCTAGGAAGCAGACATTAAAACACATTGTTAATTAAAAAAACTATGATGTCTTTTATGAATTAAAGTATTAAGTAGAAATAAAGGAGAGAATAAATATCTGGGTAGGGAAGGTAAATGTCCTATGATAATGTACTTCAACCACGGAGCGAATGCTGTTTCCATTTGCTTTGGCCTGTGGGAGGTCATGTATCTGCACTGTCGATACTGAAATCCAGGAATATATTTATGTCTAAAACCAGGGAAGAAAGATGAAACAACATTGGTAGACAACACAAATAATTTGCTGTGCCATTCGCTAAACATCTTCCCAACAGCTTTTGACAGAAAAACATTTCCAGGGCGATAAATTGTTCTTTAAGAATTAGCCAAGATATATACTGGGTCTTAACAGAGCTTCTTTTTCTAAACTTTCTCTAGCAATACATTCAGAGATACACACCTTCCCCTAAAGTTCTTCACAAATATCTCCATAGCATAGACATTTGACATCCTACATTGCACTACTAAGCTCGTTTATTTTTCATAGGGAATGGTTTTCCATTCTCTATGAAAACCAACTAGGCAGCCACATTCTGTTGCCCTTCCCTAACAGATTTGTTTTGATGGACAGAGAACAGTCTCGTTTAAAAGCAGGGATGTCCCCAGGGAAAACCTTTTCCTCCTTCTAAACTAGTCCTGCCATAAGCAATGCAAGACTTAAGTTTTAAGGCAATGACAATTTTAAGAACTGGGGGATTTTTAAATGGACCTGTTCAGTCTTGACAGTTCTAAAAAACAGGCCACAGTTATATTATCTAAATGAAGGCACAAATATGTGTATAATTTAGGGGGAAGACTGCCTTCATCTTGAGTAGCCTGGCATCAAGTAAAGGGTTGCAAAAATTGCCTTTCTTCTTGAAAAATGCAGCAACCCTTAACCAATGTAATAATACTCAGATTCTCTTTCATAACCCAACTTTTCCTCAAATGGAAATGAATTTTGCATGCAGTGGGATCTTCATCTATTTTTCATGAATTATAGTTTAAAGAGTCATATCCAATCCTTTATGAACACTGCAGGCTGCTACAACCCTCCTTCTTCTTCAGTTTTATACAGAAGTTATCAAATGAGAAAACTATAAAACCTCATTCTAGGGGTTTTTTTTATGTGCCAGTGGGTATTTCTGAAGGCAAAAACCTTGAATTATGTCAATCCTTAGGGAAAAGAGTGAGTGTTTTTATTCACAGAATGGTGGGTATTAAAGCCTGAAAGGTCATTTTAGAACATTTACTTTTTCCCTAAGCAGACTTGTTCCTTATAGTAAAGAGTTTATTGCAAAGAACTAAACACAATTGAGCTCAGGAAAGGAGGCACCATATGCAGTGCTATAACATCAAACCTTCATTGGTCACGCATCATTTATAAACTTGATTTAAGCCTCATGGGACATCAATAAGCATATGAAACTATCAAAACTGGCCCGTTTTAGCTAGAAGCTAACTGCAGCTTCTATTGCAATGATCAGGCAGGCGAAAAGAGTGGTGAAGAATTCTCTGCAATAGAAACAGCCCCAGAAGTTAATGCTCACAGTGACTATTTGGATAGGAAGCTTAATGACTTAAAATAAGCCTGTGAGCAACCCATACCTTCTGTTCTGGTTTGAAAAGAACCGAAATTCTGAGGGAAAATGATAGTCTAAATTAAAGCTTCTATTGATTGTCTGATTAAAAGACTGACTCCATAATGCAGACCTCTCCACACCAGACCTAGACAATGCAGAGCCTCAGCAGCATCTTGCTCATTTCCAAGAGGACAAGTCCCAGTTCTGATCACAATATATTCTAAAATACTTTTTTCTTTTAAATGTCATATTCATGCCATTCACTACCTCCTTGTCGCAGAAGATGGTTCCTGTGTTCAGCCCAATGAGAACTGCAGGATGTTGTAAGATCATAAGATCACTGGAAAATTAAATGGCCCATCATTCTATGTAAGCAATGATTTGTTAAAAGGTCAGGAAGTGCAGAAGTTTACTTGAATATTCGGTGAGTTATACCCATTAAATATTAAAAAGCCCACATACAGTTTGAAGTACTGCAGTACACAGTTTGAAAATGTAGAATTATATAGTAGCAGTATGCAAGATAAAATAGCACCTTTCTATTAGAGTGTTTATCTCAATTCTTAATGTATTTAAGAATTCATTATTAATTTAAAAATTGATAATGTGATTTGTTAACTCATAGCAGTTCCACACACTCCATCTATATCCCTCCATTCTTGTGAAAATAACATTAGAAGCCAGTAGGTTAACATGCCCCCCAAACCCCTCATGTTTAAATAAATAAATCTGACCTCATACCTCTTGGGCTTTCCTGTCCAATGGCTGTGGAACTGACAGGGGTCTGAACATTAGTTGAATAGGCTTGTCAAAACAGGGTGTACAATAAGTCACTGCCTGTTCCACCTCTCCTGGGAGAACTAATGACCCTGCTGAATAAAAAATAGTCAACTTTAACCTTTTATTCCACGTATAAATTAGAAAAATCCTCCATAAAACCCTGTAGTGCTCAGACACAGGTAGAAGCTTGTTAGTCAGTGTGCTGTGGTTATTGTTGCAAAATATATAATATAGGCAGTTACCTTTAAAACAGATCCATACAGTCCTGAGCTAAAATCTAGCTAATAAAACATACTATACTAAGGAAAAATCAACCTCAGTTGAAAATAGACAGTCAGCTCTTCTTTCTGGAGGACACTGAATTAAAAATCTGGATGTAGACATTCCTAAACTCAGAGAACATCTGGGATTAGATTAATTTCTTTCATAACAAAGAAGGAAGGTCCTGAGCAGTAGGAGTTCAAAAATGACAGACTGAATCCTGGTCTTGCCATTGATTAGCTGGGCAGTCCCATTCAATTCTCTTTTGCTACAGTTTCACTACCTGTACACTGGGCATAAAGAATCTTTGCAAAGCATCTTAACATGACTCTCCCAAAACGTTAATTAAAAATACCTGGTAGAAGTACTAACACTCCCCACTACATCACCAGGTGACTCACTAGTCCAAGGATATTTCATGGGTGTTTGTCCCTCCCTGCACTTTCCAAAAAGAGGTACTCAGGAGGACTTCCCTATAACTGGGACACAGCAACATGTAGCCTGCACACATAGGCAGGACCTGGTCTACAGTTCACAAATGCACAGACTTTCTAAATTACTTTTCCTTTACATACTTAAGCAAAACGTTCATAGTGGGAACAGTGGGTTTGCTTTCTGTGACAGCTCAGGATATATATGCCTTAGGTTTAGAAATACCTTTTAACATGAATCAATCTCAGCTCTGCTAAAGCACAGATGTGTCCATCTTGTCTCAGTAATGTTTTTATAAAGGAACTTAAGAGGACCATATGTCTTGCAATTTAGTTGAAGGATTATGTAAATCTACCTACTATTTTTTTTTTTGGCTGATATACAAGTTTCTTTACAGCTTTATACTACATTTTAGTAGCTTGATTTCCTCTTGAAATCTCAGAATAAATTTTCAAAGCATTACTTAAATGTTTGTCAGTGGAACCAATAAGAGGGTACATAGATTGAGAGTGAAAGGAAGAAAGGGCTGTTTATCTCTACCTGCACACTTTTACCATAGTAGTGGAGTTACAGACCTCTCCTTCTCCTGTAAATCTGCATTTGCAAATAATGATTTCCTAGCTAGGCCTCTGTAAAAAAATCCACAATCAAATTATTCATTTAATTCTCTTCTGGGAATTGTGTACAATTTCAAAGCCAGCAGGGCTTTGGACTTGTAAAGTAGAATATTCTTTTTAAAAGAGATGAATTCATTCCATTGGGTATCTCATTCCTGGATTTTTGTCTTTTGGTTCATGATTCACATATAAGTGGTTTCCAGTTTTCATCCATAGAGAGTTTTCTGAAAAGAACAGTGCAGTCCACAGGCATATATGCTATGTCTTCACATGCTCTCAACTGCTTTTTTCAACCTTTCATAACTTGGGTCAAAACTGTTCACAGGACAGAAGGAAGAGGTCAATGCTCATTTAAAAGCAATGGCATCTTCCACTACTGTTTCAAACTTGCACCCTAAATGTATACACCCACTGAAGGAAAGAAAGCCTGGACATCAGGAGGTTTGTATCACCTCCCAATAAAAACACAGATTATTTCTGTACTAAGAGCTGCCCCCAACAGACCAATCTGTGGACAGAAGATGAAGAGAATGCACTGTTATGCAACAGTCTGGCAATGGCTCAGAAAGACAACTCTTAAAAATTAGGACAACAGAAGGAAATTTATTTTTGCTTTCAGTAAGAAGTGCTTGTTCATATTCAGAATGTCAAAACCAGTATTTTAAAGCTCGTTAGTAATGCAAACAATGTCAATCACCCCATAAGAATGCAGTGATCAACCTTTGTTTGCCAGTAGACATGCCAGAAACGAGCTTTGTCACTCTATCCTGGATGCATGACAGCATATGAAAGTCTAATCGGTAAACGCTGCTTTCCCTGATACTGTTTAATCAAGAAACTCCTTCAGAGAGAAAAATCAGGGAGTTTTGACAGTCCTCCTTCTCAGTGGGAGCTCCCAAAGGAACTATAGGCTTTTGTAAGTTCTAGCCGGTACCTCGCAGCTGGTTTAGGCTGATGCTACAGCACTAGTAGATGATGTTCCTAATTAAGCTGCTAATTATGTTCTCTGTGGAGGTGATTAATTAGCAACAGGAAAGCCTTGGATACTGCCAATGGCACCATATATAGAGATAACTGAGCAGGCAGCGATATCAAAAATCTGAGAAAAGATTTTGAAATGTACCTTGCATACCACGAAGAATCATCTTCCTGGATGATATGGCAGTGAACTCTGACAATTTTACTCAAATTCAGCATACTTTAAATGAGGTCATATTTGGAAATGGAGAATTTTCTTCTCTTTAGTCTCTTTCCCGCCTGACATAATAGACTCAGAGAAAGTGATTACTAAATCTGTGAACACTGCTGAGTGGGGCTTTTATGCTCATTGTGTACCACTGACATTAATTATATGTAGAGAAAAAAAGAATCCATTGGCACAAACCTCATTTGAACTTTCAAGAGTGAAGAAGTTCAATCTTGTCTATATTTTTAGCTTCACTGTAGCCAAATGATGCCCAGCTACAGGTACACTAGCACAGGTTTTACCACTTTTAGACACTACATTTAACAAAAATGCTGTTGATGAGGAGTTGAGGAGGAAGATAGTAAAAACAAAAAAAGCTTAGAAGCTGAATTTTTCTGTCTCCTCTGATTCTCAGGCTTCAGGCTGTTAGCCTTATAGAGGTGCCCAGTGTGAAATCATCTCAAGGCAGTGTTAAATGGATTGAAGTGATTGGAGGAGAAAAAAAGAAACAGATTCACGGGTTGGGGGGAGCCCCATACTTGAAAAACTCCACATAATTTAACTCCAAATCCTCTCCCTCAACCTGATTTTTCTGGATGTAAATATTGGCTCAAAATATAAATAGAAAGGCACAGATTATGGGGAATAACAGATATTGATATAATTTGCCTAAAGAATTCTTTAAATAATCACATAGTTATCCTTGGCTTCAGCTTCAAAGTAATCAAGCCACCTGGGTTCTCCTCAACCTCTGTGGGTTTACAGAGAACTGGGACCTGGAAAAGACAAGTTTAGAGTACCTCAGGGCTCCAAAACCAATTAGGATGAGACTCTGATATCCTTTGCCTATGCAGCCTCAGTCATACATTTAATTAGTCCTATTTTAATTTTCTTTTGTATTTACAAAATAGCACACTCAAAGTCTCTAGACATGCTTTTTACATATTTTGTACTTTATACAAATATTACGTAGTATTACCTAACTATCCTTCGAGCCCTGCAGCAAGTGATTTGTCACCAGTCTCCTAGAGAGGAATTCTGTTGCCAACACATAGGTACGAGGCATTCTCCATCCCTCCTTGGAGAAAGCCTGATCATCTCTATTGTTGCCTTAAGCTACTTATGGTTACAGATTAGATTCAGTGAGACAGCAATTAAACAGTCCACCACGCACATGCTGTCTTTACACGATACATTAAAGCTATGGTTTAGGGCAGCAATTTTACTTTGCCAATCATGGTTTACTGGGCCAAAGTCCCACAATGCAAAGCACTGCCCTGGTTTCAGGCTTTCAGTGCAGTGCTGTCTAACGAAAACAGTTACAATGAATTTGCATACTGGCCAAATCTATGGGCTGCCTTTTTTTTTTTTTTTTTTTTTGTAAGAAGCAGCTGTATTCAATTCACACCTTAAAAGACATTGGACTTAGGAAAATAAGTTGAAAAAAAGAAAAAGAGGAAAAATCCCACTAGAATAATACTTCTAAGATATCTCCCCAAAAGCCCTGGTTTCCATGGGATGTTTTAACACATATTCTCCATCTGTGCTTTTCACACTGTCAACATTGAACCACTTCCCCTTAAGTGCAAATATTTATTGTATTAATGTACAGTTGCTAACTCAGCTAACCGATCTGCCCTTTAAAGCTAAATGAAGTACAGAGACACTGAACTGCTGCCAATAACAAGTAGAGATAAAAGCTTGCTGTAATTATACCAGTAAGGTATGATATTTTTTACTGGGTGTCCTAGCTTGTTGTGCCAATATGAAGTCTTAAATCTATCATTTGTTCTGACACACAGTTGGCAGCATTTAAAAAAGCCAGCAACAGAATGTCTTTCAGATTTGTGTCACACTTTGCCTACCTCTAAACTAACTGGAATTCTTCCAAATTAATCCTTTGTTAAGGTGGTCAATAGGGATACTATTTTCTATTACTCTATTACTACAAACAATAGAAGAACACCATTTTGTATTTTAATTTGCATTTTGTTCCTATGGTTTCTACAGGAGTAAGATTTTGCCTCTCTTATTATGAAGTCTATCCAGTGGATTTTGACATGTAAGACAACTATCAAACTATAAGTCCTATTTTCTGCACTTGGGAATCAAGAAGAAATTTTTCATCTTGACTCAACAACTATCTCCACTGAAGAAGCCCTGGGCAAAATCCAGGCTGTGGGTTTCCCAGATATAAATTTGGATCCTGTTCACTTTCTTTACAGAGTTTAGAAGGAGTAATTAGCTTCTGGCTATGCAGTGTTTCAATGTTATAAAATACAAGCTAAATGCTGGATGTTGTTAGTGAGCACTGCTGATTGCTCAGGAGCTGATACGGCTTCTTGCCGCATTGAGGCGGTCTGGGCGGGGAGTTTGTGCAGGGAGTGCTGGCTCACGGGAAGAGCACAGACTGAAAGCCAAGCCAAATGTCACGTAAAAAGCGAGTAGATAGCACACTGATAATCTACAGCAGTGGTGGTATAATGTTATGTTTATTATTTTTATAATCACCAATAAAAGCACTAACTGAAAGGTTTTCCCAACGTGGCTTGCATAAAGTGCTATTCAGACAGCACAAACAGATGATCAGCTTTGTAATTCTCATCTTGTTCAAATGCAGTCTGTTTTATTAGGGGTTTCTAAACATATGTGATTAACATTTACTCTTGCACACACACAAATTCACAACTGAACAGAAACAACTGAAAAGCCTGGAGAGAGGCAAGGTCTAGCATGGACCAGAAAGTGGCAAGCTATCCCCAAGGTCTAGCAGAGCTCTTCTCTCCTTACTGCCCTGCTTGCTATTCTAGTCCTGGGCTTATTTCTCATCATCCAATTTGTGGCCTGTTTTGAACCAGAGATATCTGACAATACTTCCATGATATAGACAAATTCTCATTTCATTATGATACAAGTGAAATGTGGGTTTAGGCTTCTACCAGTAAGCCCCAAGTTTTTTTAATCGATATTACATGAATTTAAGACATAAACACAGAGAACAATGTCTCATGAAGGGCAAAACGGGCACATATGAACACTGCACTCAGAAGAAATCTTTGATGTCTGTACCTGATACAGGACTGCTATCTTACTCCCTCCTTGAAATGCCTAGGTTAGAGAAAGAGTATTTGCTGTAAACCTGACTTTATTATTTTCTTGTGAGTTACAGCCAAGCTCCAAATATTAATCAATTGGAAGTCTCTAAGACCTCTGACTTCTTATGAATTCTGCACATACAAAAAGGAAATACTCATCAAATCTTTAATGGATTAGACAGACTAATCAAATGGCAATAACCAAGGAACCGAGGACCAAAGTCCTGCTCTGTAAAAGCTTCTTTCAGTGACCCTGGGGAAATCCCTTGATGTATGTGGCTTGATTTCTTTGTGTAGTCACAGGTACAGATGAGGAAAATTAATCACTAAAAGGTTGTCAATAATGGTGGCAATAAAGACCACACAAGCACCTATGATAGACAAATAACTACACACACTAGTTTTCTATTTACTTGTTAGAGGTGGTAGAGTTAAAATCATTATAGATGTATGGAACAGTTCAACACAACCCAAAATGCTTAATTCTTAAAGAAGTTCACGGTGAATTCAAAATTAGTCTCATCTATTTTAAGCCCAGGATGACATAATTTTAATAGGTAGGGACATTTTCATTAAATATTTCCACTTTATAGAACTCCCTCTTAGCATCCACGTTACTTTGTGGAGAAACTTGTAATCCAAATAATTTCAGTACAAAATAGAAGTGCAGGGAAACATAGAAATGTTGCTGTAATCCAAATAATTTCAGTACAAAATAGAAGTGCAGAGAAACATAGAAACGTTGCTGACAAGAAGTGTTCTGCAATTCTGAAAAATCTTGAAAAAAAATAACTGCTCACTAGGACACGGTATAATAAATATTCCTGATAATTTATTCCTTCATTACCTCTTACAGTAAGGAAATGATTACTTTAGTGTGGGGAATGTAGGCAATTTGGGGAATTTTCTGGCAATAGAAAAACTGAGGAAGAACATCTTTTTTAGAGGAGAAACAGTTCTTTAAACAATGTCCATACACTTGCATCCAAAGACAGACAACAACAGTGAATACAAAGGGCGGGGAAACCTACCACTGCATGTCTCTTCATCCGTGTCTATGTCTTCCAAATCTAAGTACTTGTCCACCTGCCATAAAAACCCCAAATTGGAAAATAAATTAAAATGTATTAATTCCATTCCCTATAGTACAAACTAGAGTAAAGCAAAAAAGCATTGAATTGCCTGCTTCATCTTCTCCATTCTCCCCTGAATTTTTCCAAGAAAGCATGTGATTTTTCTTTGAAATGTGTAACCCAAGGGAAATACTTTTACATATAGGCAAAGAATTGCTGCCAAAATTGCTGCATATCAACAGTGATGGGAAAGAAGCTCAAGCTGTAGAGCAACTTTTTCAGGAACTTAGTGGGAAGATGGAGAAGTAAAATATTTTCATTGGAAAAAAATACATGGTAAGTTACTCTGTAGTTTTACATGATCACTGCATACAGCACAGAGATAATACATGCTGTAGGCAAAGCAGAGCTCGATCCTTCTGTTTTGATACTAATGGTGAACTGAATGTGAAATAAAAAAGATAAGAATTATTAAATTTTTAGTATTTCATCCAGGACATTGCACTGCTGTATTTTCAGGCTGATGCCCCTTGAAAATGGTCTAACTATCTAAAACACACCACAGGAAAAGATGTTTCTCATTTCAGGTAGCACTCTGAATAGATGCATAGGGTGAAAGGCCTTTCCCAGCCTATGTGCAAATAGTGTTAGCGTGGAGGATTTACTATATGCACTGGGTATTCTTCTGTGTTTCTATGAAGTAATTGGAGATTCTCTTAGATAATTTTGTCCAACCTGATTTGACACCATTTTTATCAACACTTACAGAACCTGAGTATGTACTTTAAAAGTACATACTCATTAACTTCTGAAAAAAATTTTGGATGCTGATGCTCTCATCCTTCTTTCCCACAGATGGGAAAGAAATACATTAACAAATTTCAAGTACTTTGTAAATTAATAAAGTAAAAGTCAGTTAAGTTCTGCTCACAATCTCCACTTTGAAAAAAATCAAAGAAAAGCATACCTTCGCTCTTTCAGACATACTGAGATCATTTCCATCAGAGCCACCAGCTTTACAGCTCTCATTCACCACTTTCTGTAGATAGAGAGGCATAAATCCTTATATCCAAGAAACAAAACCAAAATCACTCAAAGCTCCTACTGATTTACACATACAGATGCTTTACAGAGTATTTAAATTTTTTTAAAAAGTGAATGCAAAGCTTGTGGAAATAGAATGTATGCAGGTAATCCTCTGAAATCCTACAGAAGACCAGACTGAATCAATTGAAACAACAGTGCAAGTAATCATAACATGTCTAAAATGCAGCATTTAGAACAGAAGCCTTGTTTTCAATAACATTTTTTTCCCTCTTTTCTTTCCTCAGGGCAGGCTTAAACATTGCAGTAGCCAGCTTACTGCACTACAGCCTCCTCCTGCTACTACACTAGCAATTTTTCTGATGCATTCTACTATTACTGTATTTGTTTCTTAAACTGCTAATGTGACAAAAATGTGCAGCCATTACTGAAACTTTTTTTCTGTAGCAACAAAGACAAGTATTAAGATGTTTCATTAAATAAAGGATAACAGAAGATGCACATTGCTTTATGGGGCAGAAAGTCAATTCAAAGAGACCCAAAGGCAGTCTATCCCAATGAGGCAACCACATTCTTCATGAGAAAAATGGCAAAAAGATTCTTGCCATTATTATTACACAATCAACTGACAGAATGTGATTGTTTTAAAAGCCTTGCTTAATTCCACCTCAAAGGCATGTGCTAGTAGGGAGGAAAATGACAGCTTGTGCTCTTCAACTGAGGCCTGGTAGACCCATCACCTGAAAACACTAAAGTGTGTTGCTCTGTGTATTGCACTAAATGACTTGTTACTTCTTTTTTAATAAAAAGTTTAATGAAGGGAATTTTTGAGCACAAGCTAGATCACAACTTAGCTATTTGTTATGCAGGCAGGACAGTAGAAGTTCTTAATAAGTGGACTAAGATTTCCATCTCACTCTCTCCAGATGATGTCTGTTGTTTTCCTGTCCCTACACATTAAATTTCTAATCTCATACGTTTCAGAAGATTAAAAATGCCTCTGGCCTGCCTACCATTTATTTTAGGTAGCTGAAGCAATCTAGCTTCAGTAACACAGAACTCAGTACTTGCTAAAATCCCCAAGAAACAAAATTAATCTGAGCATGATGGTATCCATCTCTCAAGATTTTTTTCCTTTTTGCCAACCTCTACCATTAACTGCAGTCTTCAGTGAAAGCATTACAAAGGTCCTTGCAGGGCACCTTATTTATTAGATTATGGCAGTACTTCAGTAGAGCAAATGCCACTGCCAAACGTGATCCCTGCAGGTGCCTCTGTAAGCATTACACACTTATGTAGTATTTTAAATATTTGCCTCACATGGGATAAATACCACTAGCCTCTAACATTTGGACAGTGCATCTCCCCATAATTTCATCTGTCTGAATGCAGTGCTTGTCCACACGGACAAATGTTAACTCGTTACCTCATTCTCATTTGGTATCTGTGGTGGAGGAGTCACCCAGATTTCTTTGCTTCTTTCAGGTGAGCCATCCTGTTTATCTCTGTTTGATAATTCAGAAGTAGAAACTGTTTTTCTTAAGGAGTCCACTTTGCTTCCTTGAATTGTCTTCCCCCTTTCCTCTGTAAGGAGAATCACACCAGATCAGATAATATAACGCACTACCCAAGAAAAATAAAAACACGAATTTCATTAGATCTAATATTGGCTTATTCTACACATTCAGTTTTCCTCTCATGCTCAGAGCTTCCATATGCATCATATACATGTATTTTGCAACCTTTATCATAAAACTGAGTATGCAGTTTGAACTTCCAGTGCACAGAGTATCGCCTATTCCTCAATACCGAAGAATTCATTGTCTCAAAAGCTTATGCAATATATAGAAAACTTGATAAAACAACCCAAGAGCTGAAAATACACATAAAAGCAAGAGAGTAAGTAAGGTTACACCTTAGTTTTTATTTTAAAATTTTGTTTAAATGCTCTCTGAATTCTGCACCAAATGGCACACAACATTTGTGCCCATGCCTTCACCCAGCACTGCAAACACCAGCACATATGAAGAAAGTCTCTTCTTTGCAACACCACTATAAATGCCATAGCAACCGCATGCACTCAGTACAGCTATCTGAGATGTATATTTTTAGAATTAAAACCAGAAAACTCCCTTCATTCTCCAACACCAGCACACACTCCCAACATTTACATGTGCAAATTTAAAAGTCCAGCAACCGTGCTTAGGTGGGATCTGTGCTCACAAAATCACTTGATACCTTAAGCAGTTCAAGTGCACATATTCCTTCACATACTTAACCAGTGGTGTACCTTCTTATCAACCACAAGACAGGTGATCATAGGACAGCGATAACCTGGTCCAAAAATGCAGTAGTTCTTGTACTTTCTACCTCAATATCGCGGTATCACCCTCTTTACAGTGACTGTCAGCCCAAACGTGTGCTCCATGTTTGAACCCCACAGCCCTTAGAGCAGCTGTCCCTGTTGCCTGGTATGGAAGTGAGCCCCAGCAGTTCCTGTCAGCGCCGACACTGATGCTGGCTGTGAGACTGCCCAGGGCCAGCACCCACAGAGCACCCACAGAGCTCTCGGATGCCCACGGGCACCACCGCCCGAATCTCCAGCAGTCCAGCGCCAGATGGCAAGAGGCACTGACAGGCCCTATAATCTAGTCCCTCTATCTATAGTCAGTAAAACACCTCATTTGAGTTGATTTCTTTAGGCACTGCTGCTTTCAGTGTTTAACAACTATAGTATGCTCTTGACTTAGCTCATTACCGATTTGATTTCCTCCCTGTATCAGCAATCTGACTGGGTGGGAAAATTTTACGAGTAAGTATTTTTTTATTGGGATCAGACTAACAAACAGCAGTGAGCCAGTGATATTTAATTGCCAGAAGTTTAGGTCTTGAGATTAAAGATTAAATACAGATGTTCAAGCATGGCTTGTCCCTTCAGGGTATTCCTTTAGTCTTGAAAGACAGACTGGAAAAATGTTTTACCAGTGCACTGACAGAAGATTGAAATAACTTCTCACATGTTTATTTTATACATCAATAGTGGCTAATTGGGCCTCCACTGAAAACAGGGAAGTATTCAGGAACAGAACTGAGTCTTTCAATGATAGCTTGTGACATCTTTCAGATTTTAATAACTCCTTGGATAACAAGAGCAAAGTGAATACAACTATCAGAGCTTCTGACTGTCCTACCAGCTAGGTCCACGGGGCACAGAGCAGCCAGCAGAAATAGGATACAGTTAAGTGATCATCAAATGAGATCTCAGTGGTACAGACTGGATCTAGGAGCTGATTACAGACCAGGACAAGTATGTGCATCAAAGTATGGACTTCTGAACCCTTGCTGAAAAGGTTTTCTTCATACAACATGGCAAAAAGTATATTAATCATGGCCAAAAAGAAAAAAAAAAAAAAAAAACGCAGGACTTTTTATTTTAAAAGTCCATTATCAAGTAGAACAATCAATTAAAATGAACTTCACACCACATGTTTTTAATGAAAAAAAAAAAGCTCATTTAACAGAGTTTCTTAGGTTATTTTGAAAAATCTACTTTGTAACAATAAGAAACACTGCAGCATATTTCTAAAGCATAATTATATGTTACAGGCATTGAAGTAGTGTGGAGAGTTTTAATGATGCCCTTGGGATTACTACAGAGCCATCCACCAAAGAGTTATTAATCCCCAGGGACAGCTCTGTGCTGCAGTCACTGTGACACACAGAAAGGGCTGGCAGTCTGCACATAACCTGAAGTCCACACTCATAAGAGTCAAGGTTCATGGAAAGCAAATTGCACCAGACCAGATCAATCTCACAAACAGATTTTAACGCTCAGACCACAGATGAATCCTCTGAATAATTTCTAAATCCCAGATCTCTTGATATGACACCTGTCTTCTCCCTGGTTTTCAGCAAGTACTTTTCCAAAACAATATTTGGAAACAGCAGTACATATGAGCAATCTCTGCTTCCTACACGGTCTTTTTTTCCAGCCATGGAAATGAAGCAGTATTATACAAGAAACCCTCTTTTAAATTCCTGACAGGTAAAATGGTCAGCCACTATTTGAAAATATTTTTTATAGGAAGAACTAGATGACTAGCTTCACTCTTTTGTTATTGTAGTGGTAAAACAGGATAGACTTCCTGTTTTATACTAAGAACTGGCAAGTTTTATACTAAAGACTGACAAGGCACAAAAGAGTATTGATGTATTTTAGGGTATGTGTGTATTAGCAAACTATGCATCCAAACACATGCAGACCTATAAAGTAACAATAGGGACTGAGGACACAGTATCCTCCTCGTACACATCAGGAACCTTTATACATGAGAAGTGAGAAAAAGCTTCTGGAAGCCATATACTTTTCTCAGCCAGATCAACAGAGACACAAAAGGCATCAAGAACTGGAATGATCAGCAACATAATTCATACAACCGATAGGCTCTGAATAAACATGATATTCCTGCACAAGCCCATGCCTATCTTGGATAACACTGCGGTCATTCTTCTGGCATATAAATCAAATTATCCTTCTTCAAAACATAGGTTCTGAATTTTCTGAATGAAATAATATCATTTTTAGCATCAAAAGACCTATGCCACATAGTTGGGCAGTTATAATTAGACAGTACATATGAGCTGACAAACTTATTTTATTAGATCATATATTTTCTGGAAAGATGAGCTACTGTCACAGTTAAGAAGACAGATAGATTAAATAAGTAAATAAGAAATCAAGTGCATTCAAAGTATTTATGTGCCATTTACCAACCCCAGACTAAAGCTAGAAGCACTATCCCTTTTCCTAAGAGATCAGTCATAAACTGCTGTCAGAAACATTTTTCTGGTTAAGACCACTGCAGAGTTATTGGGTTACAGAATATTAAACATTACATTTGATGAAACATTCACATCTGCAATGCGATACTAGATTCATGACTGCAAGTGAAGAAAAATGCAGAAGGAGAAGAAAAAAGTCAAAGCAACCAAAGCAGTTGTGAAACACATAGTGCAGACAGAATCTCAGCTATGCAACCATGTGCATAATGAGGCTATGCCACATAAATTGGAAGGGGGAGGTGAATCAAACATTACGTTGCTAGCCTCAAGCACAGTCCCCCAGGGCCAGTTAGATCCACTTTCAGATGTCCATAGTAACTACTGATACCTACAGTTTCTCAAAGCATGCATCACATAACTGGCTCCTTTGAAGCAGTAAGAGTCATGATCTTAAAGAATATTATTAAAAACAACACACATAAATTGTTCTAAATTTAAAGAAACTACAATCTGCAGAGAAACACCACAGCTACATTCCTTTGCCAGAGTTCTGATTTTCAATCATTTCTGTCCTTACTTTTGAAAGAGAAGAAGAAGGAGGATCACATTTAAGCCAGCAAGAGGATCACTCTGCCTTCCCCCAACTAAGCGATAAGTGACTCATTATTCACAGTCACAGTTCTCAACCTGCCAAGACCCAGATGTACAACATTGGCCTTTACAACATGCAACAAAAGTCCAAAATAAGGGATACAAACACAATAAAAAGTAGCAGAAGAAGGTTAAAATGATGGAAGGATTCACATATTCACTCTGCAGAAAGTTTCTCAGTTTTACTTTTCAGAAATTCCACTGTCAGTGCCTTAACAATGAAATAATAAGCCAGCTTAGGTCTCTAGAAAAGTAAATCTGAGTCTCTCAAGAGTAGTATCCATCATAATTGTGTGTCACTGAAAAGTAAGTTGCAGAATTCAGAAACATATTTCTATCAGAAAGTATTTCCAGCTTGACAAATTTTTTTCTCTCCTGCTATCTATCCTCTATATTGCTTAAAATTCTCTTTGTCTTCCAATTTGGAAGGGAATCTTTTGAAAATGTCCACTGATCACCCACATATTTCAAAGAATAATGGAGTCACTTATCACAAAGCCAGAGAAAAGAGCTACCAGGATTATCAGGAAAAGCTTCCTGTCATCTGTTAGATGAAACCCTAGCCCTGGAACAATGATAAAAGTCCGGTGGTCTGAAACATTTCAAAGCCAGACCACATAGAGCAATCAATAACATACTGTAGAAAGCCTGGTTTGGGATAATACACTGGACAAAACAATACAAAATACCAGGTACTTCCTGATTTTTTCAATTTAATTAATTCATCCCAAAACCAAAAAATGGGTGAGAATGAGAGACAGGCCCCTTTAACTATATTAAAAAAAAACCAAACCAAAACAAAAAAAAAAAAAAAAAAACAATACAGCGAAGCTACTATTGTAAGTTTCAATTTACTTCTTTGTCCTCAAAACATTGGACTGAGAGCCAGAAGAAGGCCTGTGAATCCCTTAAATCCCTTTCAAGTTATTCTCTGAATGGAAAACCTGGGATTCAAATAATACAGTGACTTCCTGAAAGACTCCTGAACAAAAAATAATTTTATTCATAGTATTGTGATAACTGTCTTGCACAGAAGTCATGAGTACAAATTTCATGTTCATTCACTATCTCCATTTTTCAAACACATCATCAGCAAACAGCTGCACTTTAAAACAAGAACAAACCCTGTCACTGAAATGTTTCCATAAAAT